ACACACACACACACACACACACACACACACACACACACACACACACACATTTTTTAAAAGACTAATAAAGAAAATTGATTATTTAAATCATTTACATACTGCAATAAAAGCCATAGAAAATATAAAAAAAATGTACCGTTATAAAATTGATAAAAAGTTACAAACCAGCCATTTGATTGCTTTGCTAGTTATAGTGTTAATTGAAATGAAAATTTTCTCTTGAATGTCACGCTCATTTTGAACGATTTACAAATCGACGGTCGTGATAGAATAAAAATTTAGATAAAAATTTAAGTTGAATTGCAGACTATTAATTTATTTTTATGCTTTTTATATGTGAACATCTGATATGTCTCACAATCTACTTCTATGTACAGTGCTTTTAATTTTTAGAATTCTATCGTGACATATAAATCATTTAAAGTCGGTTTGACTCTTTCTTTCATTGAACTAAGTTGTAAAAAACTTAGTATTAAAAATAGGATATTGATATCATTAATTTTACACGAAGTAACTTGCATTATGCTAAACGTGTTTTACACAATTGATACTACGACTACTATCGATGAAATGAAAACATGGAAAAATCTATGGACAATAATAAGCCAAACAGGTCCGACATGATACAATCAATCAGAGAAAATGCCACTTACGATCCGGACTGGATCTTGGTAACCTAATGATAATATTGTATTATTGTATTAATAATATTGTATTATTAACTTTTGTAAGTATACTTTTTTCCTAGCTCAGTAAATTGCGCACTGATTTTTTTATCGGTCCTTAAAACATAGCTCTTTATTAGAACAGTAAATCGACATTCTTAAATCGATAATCGATTTAACTTTTCTATGCTAATAAGTATCGTTATTAAAATCACTGTAAAGAATTCATTACGAAAAATATCACCCCAGCCAGAGTACTTAATCGATAATCGATTTAATTATGTAAATTAACTAATCTAACAAAGAGCTGTGTTTTAAAAACGTAGTTGTCTGAATTTAGAAAGAAGCATACAAAATTTACACAATATCATCATTAGGCTACCAAGATCCAGCACGGACCTTATAAATGGCATTTTCTCTAATTGATTGTATAATCTATCGAATTAAACCGAATATTATTAATGAGTCCGTTAAAGGACGCAATCCTTAATTTGGAAAATATCTACCAGAGTTTATTGCTATTATCCCAGAGATGATCCTTTTAAAGATTTCGAAAATCCGTTCTGCTGAGGTTTCGATTGTTGTCCATTCGGAGGTGGTCTCATCGGAGGTGGTTCATTCGGAGGTGACCCATTCTGAGGTCCTTGTGCCGCACGTCGCACTAAAGGACTACTTTGACCCATTATATTAATCAGTTCATCTATTTTTCCTCCTGGCTTTAAATAAGAATTATCTTATCACAAGAATTATCCGATGAGTGTACGAAAAAATTGTTCACATTCTTATTGAAAATTTGAATCAAATTTGCCAAATTTTAGTGGCATTATTTCGAGAAATTACAGAACGTTCAATCATACTCACTTGATTAAATTTGTCGATCGGTAAATTGGCGAGCTAAAAAGGAAGTTAAATGTTTCATTATAAATATAATCATATTAGTGTCATATTGGACAATATCGAAATATTAACAACGCTAATTACACGGCTCTAAACAATTGGTATTATTTCGTGAAATTAATCGAGTGTTTCGAACATCTTCGAGAAATTACTTACAAAAGCATTGTTTAGAAGAATATACATTATTTATATTATATTTGTCTTCTGTTTTCAATAATATAAGAGCTATAAAAAATTTGTTATTCTTATATCTACTTTCCCTCTTTTTATTCTTCTTCTCATTGCGTTAGAAAAGGTATATGACAAACTTTTTAAATATATGATCAATTTCGTATGTATCTTGGGGAAGTCCGACTTCAATCTTGTTATTAAAACGCGATTTTCATATATTTAACTTTTATACATTCATATTAACATATATATAATGCGCTTAGTTTAAACATCTCTCCAGCCCGAGATTATAAATGAATTATTATCGATTTCTTACCACCGCCACGCAAAGCAACGTAATGAGGAACAGCTTAATCATCGTGGTTCGGTTTGATGCACAAACGTACACTGGTTGGATCAACGTAGACATTCCTCGCTTTTATATAAATCCCATACGCCATAACGTATTTACACGTGTCCAGTTGTGGAAAAAGTCGATGTATATCCGCGCTGTGATATAACGCGACTTCCGATTGTTTCACGCTTTTTGTTTGCGCAATTTGCAACAGGATTTGACGCGCAGAATTCGTCAAATTGAACAATAGTGCAATTATAACATGTCGCTTCTACGACGATTTACATAATATTTTTTATAAACAATAGTAAAACCGAATTGCTTGACCTTGTCGCTTGCTAATGTGGCTGCTTCATCATTGTTCATTATTTTCGCCTGATTTTACTGATAAGCATCACTTACGTGTAGCTCTCGCAGCTTGATAACATTCTTCGCGAACATGCTCGTTACTCTCTAAAAGTCGAAGAGTAAAATATCACTCAAAACGAGTGAAATGTAAGTGTAAAGAAAAGGAAAATTGAGCCTGTGCACTTCAAGTGATTCGCTACTCTAACAATACAAATAAAACTGCGCTTTATAAGTTGAAGCGAAATCGCACTCCATTTAAGTAAAAAGGCACTCTTTCCGAGTGCAGTAGATCAGTGTCCATAGAAGTGAATTATGTCACTCTACAATTTTAAGTGCGAAATTTCACTCTGTTAGAGTCATTTATATCAGTCGATCTTTAGTGAATCGTGATAGCTTCAGAGCGAGAGCTTATCACTCCGGTAGAATAGCCGCTCTAAAAATTTGAGTGAAAAATTCACTCCTACTTTATGAGTGCCTACATTTACTCAAATTAGAATGACAACCGTCTTTTATGGAGTAACTATCGCAATCACTCTAATATACATATTAGTAGCAAAACCACTATGAGATTTAGAGAGTATATATTGCGCGTTTAATTATTTTTATAATTTCAAGACGTGTCTAAATAATCGTATCTAGAGATGATTAAATATAATTTAAATTAATACGCGTTATTACAATAAATATTACCACATGCCTCAGTCGAATTGGCATGACACCCTACACAGAATGGGAGAGGTTCCAGATTCGAACCTGGAAGTAATATTTTTTGCAATAAAAATTAAATTATTTAAATATTTAGAATATTAATTTAAAAAAACCAAAGTCCTTAGTCTGAAATGTCTTGACGATAATCTGACCAAAATCAATGGTCGTATTGTCATGATGATGATAGCCAGACGAGTCAATTAAAATTCTTAATTGTTATTAATTTTCTGGCGAAGTAAATGTGTCTCTTAGTCGGTTTAAATATAATTTATTTTATAAAGTTAAATAGTCTCAAAATTTTTTTTACAAATCTCAAATGTTACGATTTTTGTTATTTTATTCTGGTTTTGATGATATATTTACTTGTAAGCTGTTGACTGTAAGCATCATTTCGTGACATAACGCAAGATCCGAGATTACAATTTTAGCGTGACTATAGTCCTACAGAGATTGTAACGTAAGCGCTATAAATGACATATAATTATGTGTAATTAACACCAAGACTACTTAACCCGGGAAGGAGTTATTTTTTCCTGCATAAACGGTCAGCTATGGGGTGATTTTTACACCCTAATTAAAAGTCATTGTTATTAATTACATATTTTTTATTGTTTTCTAATTTATTAGTATTTAACGACAGTGTGTACAGATTTACTCAATATTTTCTAGAAAAGTAAAGAGAAACTAAAAAAAAAATTTAAGCGAGTGAAATTACATATTAAATGGCTTATTATAACAGTATTTCTAAAAAATGAAGATATTAATTAATAAAACGCTTTTGTGTTGCGAGTTTTTGATAGGACTGCACATATATATAAAAGTTCGTAAAAAGAATATAGCTTATTAGAAAAAAAAAAATTATATCCATTTTACAGCAATTTAAAATAAGGCTATTATATTTTTCTAATTTTTCGGGGATGGCGAAGATGTGAATAATTTTTCATAACCGATTTTTTAGAAACCGATTTCAAAATTTTCTAATTTTTTTAGGATGGCTACGATGAGTTTATAGAAAAATTGCTAATGATAAAGGGGTTTCCGATTTCTGCTCCAATTTCCGTAAATTTTGAGATATCAAGCTAAATTTTTTTATGGATAATTTTTATAGATAATTTTTCGTTACCGATTTTTGTGAAAACAGGTTACGAAATTTTTCAAATTTCTCGGGAGTTAATTGATCGAATTTCAAAGAATTGTATATGAAATAAAGGTAGAATTTCCTTCCACTTACGAATTAACATTCCTAGCAGATCTTGTCGCGAGTTGGCGATTTGTGTGTGTAAAGATCGCAAACATTAATTTTCGCTCTCTTATCTCGAAATTCAATTCCAGGAGTAACGATTGCTCCTGTTGCTCTCGATCACCTTTCTTGAAACTCATTTAATGCGTCTCTTCCACGAAGCACCTTTCTCGCGGCCGGTTTTTTCAAAGAGGAGAAAGGACCTGTTTGTATACTTAAGATCAATCTCGAGCAGTAGAGACATTATAATAAACATAATGCGACAAGGATTAATAAAATTTAAACATCGGGTTGATATATTAGATTCTAAATTGCCGTATATTTACAATGCATTCAATGTATTTTATATAGTCTTAAATATTAAACAATTAAGTAATTTAAATCGACTGACTGGCAATATATAACGTCTTTTCGATGTGAGACATTGAAAAAAAAATAAATTAAAATTAATTAAATAAATAAATAAATAAAATAAATTAAATAAAATAAATTAAAATTAAATATTAAATATTAAAAATTGTCTAAATCATAGTACGATATACGACATTTGACAATCGCTAAAGAAATCGCATATCTTTAATCCTTTAATGCATTATTCGAAATATTTTTTCTTAATCATTATATGTACAACGTCCGACAATTTGAAGAAATCATTTATTTCATTCGATTATTTTTAATTTTAAATATTTGTCGAAAATGTTTTTTGAAAATGTATCTCCACACTTGATATACATACATATATATATGTATGCTAAATTATTACATGACACAACATTAGCATGCAGGGAAAACTAAGAAGGTAATAAGAAACGCACTTTGAATCCGCATCGATGTAATTTAATTGGTGCAGTCGATCGCGTAAAATCGTTAAGTCGCAAATTTATCGCAGGACCATTAGGGCTTTGTGAGGACGCAGGAGAAAAAACCCGAGAAAAGTTACGTATAGAAAGTCGATGGGCGATTTGATCCTGCTGTAATATCAGGATCACGGTACAGGTTCTTATTTATTGAACACGAAAGAATTCGGCCTATTTTTTGGCTTCTTCGCGATAAGAATAACGTGGAATAGATGCAGGTCGCCCTAAACCCTAAGCATCTCCTCGTGCGAAGAAATCGACCGGAAAGCGATGAAACTCGCTATAGTATCTGATGCTGCAGCAGTGTCTCGAATTCTCCCGAAATCTGGATCACTTTGTTACAATATTCAGGCATCGTAACGGTGCCAGGTACTACGACTGGCCGCGGATCAGTGCACGATCGTCAAATACCGAACTCCGACGCGTCGCCGAGAGATTACGCGCGTCTTCGGGATGTGGTTACCAATTCGTGGGTATCGTGCCGTGAAATACGCTTCTCGGCGCTCAACAGGCGAGAATTTAGGACGACGATTCGGTGCCGATAACGTTATGCGATACATGCAGTTGCACATCACGTATCGGAACGCGATCGTGTGACTCGTCAATCTTGGCGATTGATGATGCGGGGGTCCATTTACATTTCCATTTATCCCGTCTCGCCGCATCGACTCCGATAACACTTTGATAGTGAAACGCTTTACAACACTGGCAGATATATCGCATGCTCGAAATCTACTAAATATTAATTCGGTCATGAATTTAGTAATAAATTGATGTTCCTTCAAAAAGTTTGATAAGAGATTATTTTCTAACTTTCATCGATGTTGAAGCGACCATCTCTCGCATTGTAATGTATAACATTCCCGAGTAAGAGGACATTCGACACGTTTCATATATATAAGTTATACGAAAAGGTCGCGCGATAAGATTTATTCCGATTTAGAAAGCTAAACATATAAATCTATTTCATCCTCGCTCATGTAAGTCCAAATCTATGAAAGTTGTTTTTTAGATGCTAATCTACGAAAGCCAACTTTCGAAAGTGTGTGTATATATATGCAAAGGAAGAACGGTAATTTTCCATAAGAAACTTGTTTATGGGTCATCAATGTGTCCAGGAGATGATAAATTATTCGACTGGAAGAGAGTTGCATAATATTTAATTTATTTACAAAATTACAATAAATTATATGTCGGAAGTGGATCGATACGATCTTATCGAGCCGAGATCAAGAATCATAATGATCAGTGGATAATGTTGAAAATCAAGACTGTTTCACGCCTGACGATTATTAACTCTGATTCAGCAAAAAATACCGACGAAACATTTTCTGACGGGAAATTATAACATCAATTTCGTCGAAACGTACACTGTAACATTCGTAGTGTCAAATTATACTCAATATGAGTCATTTTTAACGATATAGGTTGCCACTGCTCCTACTCAATGTCGTTAATTTAACTGAAACAATGTTATTTTAAACCAGTGTTAAAATAATGGAGTTAAAATAATACCGTTTTGTGTTAAAATAATAAATTTCGACACAGACATGGTAGTTAAAAATGTTATTTAACTCAAGGTAATGGTTTAAATATCGTCCTTTAATATATATTTAACAGTTTAATATTTAACACCGTAATAAAATACAAAAAATTAATTCCAAATATAAGAGTATAAGAAAAATTCGTCATGATTTCTTTGTGCATAGCAAAAATTTCGGTAATGCGAGAATTAGTAATACGGAGATCAAACATTCCTTTCGAATACGACCGATATTAAATAGCCGAGGTATTAAATAAACGTGTAATCGCTGGGGTGCAGCGAGATATGCGTATTGTTATCGACGTGTCCAAGAAATACAACGATTGAGCAGTGCGCCGTGTTGCAGGAATCCAAATATATCCTAATCAAACTAATAATTTTCGATACATTTTTTCGATAGCTCAATTCCAAGTACAACGGTGTAATTTAACGACTGTCATCCATCGTCATCCAAAAGCCGGTTGCCTGTGAAATTAATTAGAATATACACTGTTTAATACACAGCAATTGAGCGTCAGCTATTCGTTCACAAGCCTCTAAGCTTTCCTGTCGCGTAAACCAGAACGAAGCGATCATACCGTATCCTATTACGTCGTCGACGTGACACTTGCTACATCAACTGCTGAAATAATACCATCTTGAGCATGCAAATATGCTTTCGCGCGCGAGATATTACATCTAGATATTAAATTATATGAGCTTGGAACTACTATAATAAATACAAGATGGATAACTTGCATGCAGTTAAATTCGTACCCGAGAATACATTCCTTAACGAGTATAATTATCATCAAACTTATTTTCAAGTTGTCTGATAAACAAATATACTGTATCTTTAAGATGTAACAATATATTCCTATAAAAATACAGAAGAGGTAATTGCTTCACGCAGAGAAACTATTATCACATTACGATCTACATATGACCTAGGCTGCGTTAAAAAAAGAAATTTGATTTTATACAGTCTATCGTGAATACCTGTGACAAAATACTGTGCGAAGACGTGATATATAAAACGAGTGTACAATAAAAGAGATTCAAATCGTCCGTAAATATATATAATAAAAAATAAAGCCCGGTACTCATCAACAAACTCATTTTTTCCTTTTGTCGCAATCAGTCGTCTTTTGAATTATCAGTTTATTTCGCTGCCTCGTTACTTTGGTCGTCGATCGAGTATTAGGCGTGATTTGTTTCAATCCTTGCTGCAAAGCTCTGCACGGACTAGCTGCACGTGGTGGCGTTGTACCCTTGAGAAGAGCTTCGACGTCCGCCAATCGTTTCTTCAGCGCTCTATTCTCCTTTTTGAATCTCACAAGCTCGGAATCTTTATCCAGTCGTTCGTAACCGGAGCTGCTCGTCTCCTCCGCAAAATGCCTGAACACGTGATGCAGCTTGTCTTCGTACTGCCTCTGCATCAAGATCATTCGTTTCTCGGCTTCCATCAGCCGCCAATCCTGATTCGCAATGTGAGCCTCGAGCTCGGTTATCTGAATCTCCAGACTTTTCGAACTCTCCTTCAAGTCGATTACCTTGCGGAAATATTTCATAAATAACGTTATTATTTCACCGTGAGAGAGTTTCTTCAAGCGTTCCGTCAGCATTCTCTCGCCTTTCTCGCGTTGGGATTGATTCTCATCGAAATCCTTCCGTCCACAAATCATCTCGTTCTTGTGCTCGATCATCGCATCGATAGCTTCGATGGTCTCACCGCATTCTAGCAGTTTACGTTCCTCGACCGTCGTCAGGGTTCTCTCCTTTTGGAACTTCTCGTCTAAATCGCATTTCTCATCCACCAGACAGTCCCGAGTGCGCCTCAAATTTCTAATCTCGTGCCGTAATGCTTCTTTCTCGTCCATGTCCGCGGTTCTCTCTAGATCCATAGATTTCTCTTTCAGAACGTGGTCCAGATGAGATATCCTCGCACTAACGTCCAGCAAATTCTTCATCTTATCCGAGCAATCGGTCTTCGATTTCGTATTGTGTTTCTCATCCTCGCTCTCCGATTGCATTTCCTTCAACTTGGACGCAGTTAGATTATATTTCTCCTCAAGTTCACGAATCTTTTGCTGATCTTTAGCCAG